TTGATAATTCCAGAAGCGATTCTTTCAAAACCTGTAATAACGTAATCAATTTTTTTTTATAATGAATTCTATTAAGTGATTTCAAAATATAGTTCTAATTTTTGTAGTGCACACAAAAATTAAAAGTATAATTAAATGTAATTCCACAATAACTCAAAAAATTGAAGTCATTTCCAAGAATTTAAAAAAAGTCTGAAAGGTATTTTATTTCTGATCTTACATTTTTCACAATTATCTGACCAAATAAAATTATTATTTAATCACGATAATCTAATAAGTGGATGCATAATTATGGCGAATTTTACAGGACTGATGTCTTAACATCCAATTGCATAAATTTTTTATAAACTTTATGTACCTACCGTACTTCCGTAATTAAACATTAAACTGTGTATTAAAGCAAAAAAAAAAAAATCTGACCACGTATTGACTAACCAAAATTAAAATCGTAACATTACAGTGTATACATAATATCTTGATAAAACAGCGAATAACAACAACAACAAAACAAAATGAAGGTACTTTTTTTCAACGTGTGCTTTTAAAAGTAAATGGATATATATCGTTGTTATGAAAATGTGTTACATCGTCGGACTTCCAGTCAGCAAATCCATGTTTGCAAAAGAATCAATATACGTAGATGTAAAATTTAAATTATGCGATGTACAGGATTTGCATATAATATTTAAAACATTAACCATCGAGTTGTAACTGAGCGGTTGATTTGACCACACATTGTGAAAACGTGATGATACACATTATTTCGCGTCTCTTTAAATAAAAGGCAAATGTTTTCGCCCAAAACTTTCCTCAATCTGTTACACTCGTTCCGAATACCCCAAAATGAGCATAAATAATTACCCCCTTAATGAAGTCTTCACGTTATCAGCGAAATTCATCGGAATTAAAGCCATCGAATAACACAAATCGCCATCCAGACTTTCGTGTTAATTTTGCATTAGTTTAATGTAAATTATTCGATAACTAAAATCCTAATCGGCGCACTAAAAAACGAAATAAACCCTTTTTCATTCCAAACACGCACCCAATTAGCATTCTCTCTTAAAAATAAATAAAAATCAAGCACACACACTAAAACGAAAAAAATAACACAACCTCGAAAAATCGCCTCAAAATCCTCTCAAACGCAACCGTAAATAAATCCGCGATAACGCAAATCACGACCCAAATAAAAACTCCCCCTCCCTATAATTTCCACCCCCGACTAGCGCTAATAAACAGCTTAGTTAAAATTTAATCAGCGATCAAGTGAAAAATCGTCTTCATTCCGTGCCATAAATTTTTAAATCGTTGACAGACTCGAAACTTGAACTTTAATGGAATAATTAATTAAATTTAAAATCTTATTCGAAACCAATCTTTTCGGAACGATTTTGATCCAATTAAGAATCACCCAGTACCGAGTCACCGTTATTAATTTTTAATTGGTTCGAAAAAAAATGCACCGAAAAAATCGTGTCGTCCTTGGTCGTAAAATCAAAATCGGACATCCACGTCACCGTTCGTTGTACCACAACAGCTGAAAAAATTTTTAAAATCCCAGGGGGTGTAGGGCTGGTCCACACCCTGTCATCACCCCACGTGAAAAATTAATGAAGGCCACCCGTTTTCGGATCATGATTTATTGATTGCGCCACGAGCGACGTGTCCGAATTTTAAAGTCCGGCCCTGACCCTCCGCGGGGCAAGACGGAGACGCCGCATTGATGGTCGGTGTATTTGCGATTTCAACAGGAGTCGGCACAATGTGGAAAGGAAATTCAATGTTTGAGCAAGATTTTAATGCGGGAAGTAACGATTTTTGTTATATTTTGGGATGACGTCATTGGATTGTTGGTGGGGATGGACAAGCAAATTTTGGTTGGGGTTTAGCAATCTCCACGCTAAAATCACCAAAAGACAAACAGACGGAAATAGCAGACCCCCGTTTTCGTATTGTAGATATAACATGGAAAAACCATGATATTATACATTTTTCAATCAATAGTTACTACTAGTTTACGCTAAGCAGATAAAAATTAACGATAATCCCAGAGAATTCCAATAAATTCTACTAAATAATTTTAAAATAATTATTAAATTGAAATATTTATTTTGTTCAAAGAACGTAAATCAAATGTTAAAGTTATTTTATGTCATTTCCAATAAAAACCACTGATTTCAGGTAATTTCGTGAATTTCAAAATTTTGATTAAATTGCCCCATAATCTGGATACCTATATTTTTCAACAACCACACAATAGAATATAGAAATTTCAAAGCATAGCTCAAAATGTTCAAAAAATTCGACTAAATTAACAAGGGAATTTATAAAAATAATGAATTTCACCAAGTCACAAATATTTCTTTAAATACACATGAATTTCCAAAATTCCATAATTTTCGGACCTTCAAAGAATTCCGAATTTTCCAGTAATTAACTTCTAGAAATACCTACATTATTCGATAATTCCGAAAACTAATTCCTTCGAAACTTTAGTAAATAATAATTAATCAAGTAATAAATTAAGTAAGTAATCCTGTAATTAATTAATTATGTGATTAATCCAGCATTTAATTTTGCAATTCCTAGACGTCCCAAAGTCTATAATTGGATAATTCCAATTTTTAATAATTAATTCTACTAATTTCTAATTCCAAGCTAATCCTTTAAATATGAATAAAAGTAGTATTCAAGAATGTTTGTTCTAACAAAGCAAAAAGCATTCAAATAAAAAATAATAATCAAAAATAATTGAAGACGAATTTCAAAAGTTTCGTAATTATTTCGAAAATTCATCTTTCAAATCTCATGATTGGATAATTCCACTGTTTCATACCAAACTCTACAATGTACTTTCAAATTTCAAAATAATTTTTTAATTAGCCATAAAATCCAGTAATTAATTAAGTAATTAATCCAGTAATTAATTTCGCATTTCCTAGAGTTACAGAAGTTTAATAAATTGTTAGATACTTAATTCCAAAAGTGATTCTTTGGAAATCTATAATTAGATCATTTCAATTTTCGATAATTAATTCTACTAATTTCTAATTCCAAACTAATTCTTTAAATATAGAAGTAATTTCAAGAATGTTTATTCCAGCAAAGTAAAGAGCTTTCAGATAAATAATACCAAATAACAAAAAATTATTAAGGCGAAATACAAAAGAATTCTGGAGAATTGCTAAAATCCATGTTTTACAAGTAAAATTCATAATTTTAATGTCGTAATTCCTAAAATTACAAGTTTAAAAAATTATCAAACAATTCCAAAAATTCTTCTTTCGAAACCTATACATAATTGGATAATTCAGTCGTTTCATAATACATTTTTTTACTTTCTAAATTCAAAATAATTCTGTAATTAGGCAAGAAGTTTCAAGAATGGTCATTCTCCCAAAGCAAAGAGCATTCATTACAAAAATATATAACACTAAATATTGAGGTGCATTAAACAATATTTGTAAATAAAATCCAGCAATTAATTAAGTGAATTCCAGTAATTAATTAAGTAATTAATCCAGTAATTAATTAAGTAATTAATTCAGTAATTAATTTCGCAATTCCTAGAGTTCCAGAAGTTTAATAAATTGTTAGATACTTAATTCCAAAAGTGATTCTTTGGAAATCTATAATTAGATCATTTCAATTTTCGATAGTTAATTCTACTAATTTCTAATTCCAAACTAATTCTTTAAATATGTATAAAACTAATTTCAAGAATGTTTGTTCTACCAAAGCAAAGAGCGTTCAAATAAATAATACCTAATAACAAAAAATTATTAAGGCGAAATACAAAAGAATTCTGGAGAATTACAAAAATCCAAATTTTGCAAGTAAAATCCAGTAATTTTAATGTCGCAATTCATATAATTACAAAAGTTTTACAAGTTATCTAACAATTCCGAAAATTTTAATTTCAAAAAAATAATTCTATAATTAGTCTAAAAGTTTCAAGAATGGTCATTCTCCCAAAAGAAAGAGCATTCGTTTAAAGAATATTGAATTACATAAGATTTCCAAATAACTTCCAGTAATTAATTAAGTAAAGAATTATTCCAGTAATTAATTTCGCAATTCCTAGAATTCCAGAAGATTAATAAATGGTAATATATACCTACTTAATTCCAAAACCGATTTTTTCGAAATCTATAACTGGATAATTCCACATTTTGATAATTAATTCTGCTAATTTCTCATTCCAAAACAATTACTAAATTGGCAGAGTTTCAAGAATTCCTTATTATACTCCGAATTACAAAACAATTCTGGCGATTTCAAAAACAATTCAAGAGTTCCAAATAAAACACAGTAATTGATTTCAGAATTCCTAGAATTCCAAAAGTTTAATAATTGTTTCATAACGAATTATATTAATTGATTTAATTAATTCTACAATATGTCAAAAGAATTCAGGCGAATTCGACTCAATAAAATATTATATTGTTATAAAAAATTCCGAAATTCTGAAGCGATATTTTATAACAATTTCATCAATCAAGCAGTCACTCATGAACATAAATCATTAAAATATATAGTTTAAAGTCATAAAAATGGGATACCATTTAAAAAAATTCAAAAATCACCTGACGCCATTAACCTAGCAACGTTCCTCCCAAAAGCCCATTTTTTGCGAAATCTGATTCTCGCCTTTTCCATCGAACTTGCCCCATATTTTATGACACCTTCCATATACGTCCCGTCCCTCGGGGGGCCTTAGTAGCGGCGGCGGCCGAGAGAGCGCAGCACCCCTTAAAAAATTCATATTATCAATAATAATCAAGGAGGCGGCCTGTACTGTCTAGGGGTCGTTATATCAAACTGGCGGGGGTGAGTACATGACCTTGCCGTCGGCATGGAAACCAGACAACGCTCGACATAACCCCCCGCCCCCCGGGAGCGGCGTTTCCTTCCAAACCCGGGAAAAAATATTTATAAACTAAACTCGATTTTTTGCATTTTTTCGGACGAACTCGTAATGGTGGAATTTTTTGCAGTGCGGCCAACACGGCAAGGACGACTACCCCAACTGGACGAGGAACACGATGGGGATCAACAAGCAAGGGTACGAGGCCAAGATGAACGAGCACAACCAGATGCACCAAAAAAGTGAGCCATGAAACTTTTACATTTCATTTATCAAATTAGCGTTTAATGGTGAAAGTGAAACGGGGGCAATTTTCGGGTTATTATTGGCTTTGATTGTTTATTCTGTGAGATTTTAATGGTTTTAGCGTTAAATAAAATGGGGCGGTTTCGACTGAGCTATTAATCAGAGGGTGAATTGGCGTAACAACTGCTGTTGCACAGTTAATTCATATCTGAATGGAGGACTTGTTGCGCGTCGGGGGTTGTAAGAAAAAGGGGTTGTGATGCTCAATAGGGGAAAGTCGGAACAGGAGGAATTTTGCATATTTTCGACGTGTTCTATCTTACTAACAGCTTTTTATTTCTTCACTCATAATCATTATTAAGTCTGAGGAAGCACCTTCATTTAACGATATAAATGAGCACGTTGATTTATCATAATGAATGGTCCTTTTTTCTTGCTTTATTCCGTCTTTCGCTGTTTTCGCTCGCTCCCAGTCTTTTCAATTTCGCTCCAAAACTTCATTTTGTCTTCATATTCGTTTCTAGCGTTCTAATATTTCATTGGTATGCTCTCGGATTTTCTTTCTTTTTCGTTCATCTGTATCATACAACAATTGTTTATTATTCCTGTGTTTCCGTCGTACCTTTAATTGAAAATTTAATCTTGGCAGTTTCAAGATCGTTCCTACCTAATCATAATTATCTGCTTTTTCATCAAAGGATGCTCTATTTTCTAGCTAATATATCCAAAAATACTCGTACATGAGATACTGGTTTTGTTTACGAGACGAGGAAAGTTCACACGAAATTTAATTATAGTGGATCATGCAAGCGAAAAGCTATTTAACCTAGCATTAAATTAACTTTGTAGCATATGTTTGTTTTCACTTGAAGCTTGATATTCATTATTTCTTTTAAAATACTTGAAGTTCTAGCAAATGTAATTTTTTAGATGTTATGGTTATTTGCGTTACAAATGGGTTATACAGATTATTACCTCACGAGCGTGAAATTTGATCAGAACAATGCATTAACCCCTCGTAAGAGTATGACAACAATGCATTAAATGGATGAGAAAGATTTTTTCTAAGTGCAGTAATCCAATGTTGCCGTGCTAGTGCATTAATCTTCTCATAACTAAACTATACACAAGTACGGTTACAATATTAAAGCGAACAGTTAACTCAGCAAATTTTTCAAAATCGACGTCATCACATTTTTGGTTAAGATGAAAAAAGTTTGGTTAGCGTTTAATATCAGTGTAATAAAATGGCCACAAACAGAAATAGGAAACCGACATTTTCGTGTTTTCAAGCTTACCGTTCTATTTTAAATTATTAAGAAAAGCTATCTTTGGTTGCTGTTTTGAAATAAATAAATCGAACGATGTTAATTCACGTTATATCCTATTAAACTACGTCAAAACTGCGAGAGACCCTATAAAATAAAATTGACTGAGAAATACCATAAAGTGAATCATGGAACTCTAATTTCATGGTAAGCGCAGACAACTTTTTTATTAAACTAACCTTTTTACAATTATTTTCTAAGTTTAGAATGTGGTAAAATAGACTTTATTTTGTAGATCGTCTCTGCCTCCACCCGTGAGGTTTTAATTATTTTGAAAAAATTTAAAAGAATTTTGGGGACTCCTGTTGCTCATTTTTGAAAAAAAAATGTATGTATTTTATTTTAAAGAATGTAAAAGAGAGCCAGGACCCCAGATGTTTTATTTTTAAAAGAGTGTTTAAGAGTCTTTGGAACCTCAATGTCCTTTTTTTAACCTATATAAAATTTTGTTGGCCCCTAATGTGTTTTTTTGAGAATGTGGAAGATCTTCCAGAGAGCTGATGTTTTAGTTTTAAAAGAGTTGAAATGAATCGCGAGGAGAGGTCATTTTTAAAAAATTGTAAAAAATCGGGGACTCCTGGTGTTTATTTTTGAAAGAATTTGAAAGAATCTCGGGGATTCTTGGTGTTTTATTTTTGAAAAAACTTAACAGAGGAATCTTGGAGGCGCCTCCAATGTCTTTTGTTTGAAAGAATGTGAAAGAATCTCTGGGGTATTTGGTGTTTCATTTTCGAAATAATTTGAAAGAATCACGGAGACTCGTGATGTTCATTTTTAAAAAAGTTTATAAAGAATCTTAGAGGACTCTAGTATCTTTTGCTTTCAAGAATGTGTAAGATTCTATGGGGAGGACTAATATTTTTTTTTATAAAAAAAAATCTCGTGGTCCCCGATGTTTGATTTTTAAAATAATTGTTCATTTTTTAAGAAGTTTTAAAGAATCTTCTATCGTTTTTTATTTTGAAGAATGTAAGAGGTGGTCAGGGACCAAGGATGTTTTATTTTTGAAACAGTGTTGAAGAATCTTAGGGACCTCTAATGTCCTTTTTTAAGCTTTAAAAAATTTTGTTGGCCCTTAATGTGTTTTTTTGAGAATGTGGAAGATCTTCTAGAGCACTGATGTTTTAGTTTTAAAAGAGTTGAAATTAATCTTGAGGGGTCTTTTTTTTAAGAAAATTGTAAAAAATCGGGGACTCCTGGTGTTTATTTTTGAAAGAATTTGAAAGAATCTCGGGGATTCTTGGTGTTTTATTTTTGAAAAAACTTAACAGAGGAATCTTGGGGGCGCCTCCAGTGTCTTTTGTTTGAAAGAATGTAAAAGAATCTCTGGGGTATTTGGTGTTTCATTTTCGAAATAATTTGAAAGAATCACGGAGACTCGTGATGTTCATTTTTTAAAAAGTTTATAAAGAATCTTAGAGGACTCTAGTATCTTTTGCTTTCAAGAATGTGTAAGATTCTATGGGGAGGACTAATATTTTTTTTTATAAAAAAAAATCTCGTGGTCCCCGATGTTTGATTTTTAAAATAATTGTTCATTTTTTAAGAAGTTTTATAGAATCTTCTACCGTTTTTTATTTTATAGAATGTAAGGGGGGTCGGGGACCAAGGATGTTTTATTTTTGAAAGAGTGTTGAAGAATCTTAGCGACCTGTAATGTCCTCTTTTAACCTTTAAAAAATTTTGTTGGCCTCTAATGTGTTTTTTTGAGAATGTGGAGGATCTTCCAGGGCACTGATGTTTTAGTTTTAATAGAGTTGAAATGAATCTTGAAAAGGGGTCCTTTTTTTAAGAATTTTGTAAAAAATCGGGGATTCCTGGTGTTTATTTTTGAAAGAATTTGAAAGATTCTCTAGGATCTCTGGTATTTCATTTTTGAAATAATTTGAAAGAATCTCAGAGACTCGTGGTGTTCTTACAATTTATTTAACTTTTTCTTTAGTTGTTGTTTTGAAATAAATAAATCGAACGATGTAATTCATTCGTCCATCAAAACTACTACCTGCGAGTGAACTAATAGTGGTGTGTCAAAATAGACTTTATTTTGTCAATTTTTACCTTCTTCTTCTTGTATAAATCCTTGAAGTATTTGTTAACAGTTAGGATAAAACGCCCGGTACAGTTTTTTATATCGATACCAATTTTTTTTTTTCTTAAATTCCGATTGCGTGTTCTTCTACAAATTACAGCCCGCGCGTATAATGTTCTCCTAATATTCAAATAATCTACATGTAATAAGAATACTATGTAGGACACAACAACCATAAAATTAAACAAGACATCAAACGACTTTAAATCATATCGTTATTTTCAAATTAGTATTTTATCCTCAATTTCTCATACTCCGGCCGAAACCGTTCCGCCTTATCGTTTTCCGAATTTCAAACACTTTTTTCTGCACTCAGCATCTACTTACAACTGCAGGCGCCAACCAAATACCTACTTCCTCATTAATGCCGGTCCTGTTAAAACCATGTCCCACTTACCATCGAACGGGGGCCTTAAAAATGGCAACTTGCAAGCTTCAACCGATCTAAAAAGATAATTAATTAATTATGCCAACGACCCGAGGTGAATTTGTTGAATAAATTAATAATTTATTAGAACGTTCACGTCAAAGCAGGCTGCCGAATTTCGCTCGCTGGCTATTTTATGGTGGGTTATTAATTAGAATTCGGACGGAATGAAGGTGGGGCCGGTTAGAAAGGCACCAGAATGATATCTTTTTCGGCAAAATCTGCGACGAACGAGGATCGAGGTGTAGGATCCTGCCTGGATGCCGGTCACGACGGCGATCGCATCGCGCGTTTCGTTCCGTTGTTAATTTATGCCCCCCGAAGTTGTTCCTAATAAATAAGTAAGAATGGCCATTAAACGCGACGTTTGTCATCGAAATGATAAGACATGACGTTAATTGAGGAAAAAAAATTCTGTTTTCCGGGTGTCGTCCTAGTCGAGATGTAATTCGTCGATAAAGTTTTGATTTATGGATTTTGCAATTAGGGAATTACATATTTGATACGCCACTGGTCATTGGCACAATTCTGGACATTCACACAAAGACTAAATACGTTTGGGTCGGTTTTATCGAAATCTGTATGAGGAAATGCTTTTGGTTTTAATTTACGTAATCTTTAATGTAACGACATTAATTGCCAGGTGCGTACCATTAATTTTGTCCGAAGTATGTGTGAACGGTTGTTTATTTTTTGTCATTTTAATTGCAACCAATATTAGAATAATGTGCTACAAGGTGTTAATTTTTGAGGTCCCACGCCCATGCGGTCTCCAGCTGGTGGAATATCAAACGTCAAGGACCAAAAGCGTTTAACAGAGAACATACTGTATTTCTACGAAGCATAAAGATTTTTATTAATTTATGTAATCTTTTAATGTTGGTTATGGCCAGGTGCCATTAATTTATTTTATTGTCGGAAGAAATGTGTTTGTTTTTTTCTTTAATTTAATTCAATTACAGTAGCTTATCAGGATAATGTTTTAGATATACGTATACAACAGCTGTAAATTTTAGATGACAGACGCCTACTCCCACTTGTCACTTTCATTTTTACTGAAACATTAAGGTATTTACTTCCGAATGTTTTAAATTTGTTTAGGGGGAAGTGAATTAACATTAAAAGCGGCAAAGTGTAGCCGAAACAACAGCA